GAACTGATTGGCTTTGGGTTGCCGTTCAATGAAAGGCAGTTAGTAAAAGCACGGCACTGTCCTTTCGAAGTATTTCCCTCCTTTTGGGATCCAGGATGCAGTATAAAATGGCACCCTTAATTTTGGGAATCTGTCTTTGACTTCAGCTGCTTACTTGCTGTTTCTTTGGCCCTAGAAATGCATGCTTTCCTAGCCCTGTTCCTCTAGCCACTCTACCCTGAAGCCAGTCATCCAATTAAGAAACTGGCAAATGAAAAATATTCTAAGTGTTGAATCTTCTGTCTGAATTTATATGTGTTTTGTGTGTGTGTGTGATGTTTATATACAACAGAGCTCTGATTAATTGGCTTTGAAAAAATGAGCACTTACATCACATATTTTGTCAGAAAAACAGAAGCTTTAATGCCTTTCATTCACATGACTTTAGTAATCTTTTGGAAATAAAGACAGTTTTAAAGATTGTTGGTAAAATAAAATGTCTTGAAAATATAGACATTTGCTCTAAATTAAGGTCGGATATCAAATTTGCTAAATGCTTTAAAGTCAAACTATTTCCTTAACTTTTGAAAATCGTTGGATGTACTTACTTTGGAGCATTATAGATAAAGCCTGGGGACATGACAGCCATGCCCACTAGCTATGCTGAGAAGAGTCAGGCTTTATCTTCACTTCTGTCTAATGTCCTAGGCTCCACCCCTAGCATATAATTAAACTCACTTACTTATCAGGTTTTTCACTAAAAATGAAAGTTGCTAAGAGTTAACATTGTAACCTGAAATTGAGATTGCTGGAGAAACAGTTTTACATACAAGGTAGTGTAGGGAACATGTTTCTGGGAAAAGATTATAAGAAGGTATAAGAATATGGCTTTTGTTAAAGGGAATGTAATTTTGTCTAGTTCAGAGAGTTTTAAAGATGTCTTAACCTAAAAGAGTAAGGGAACAAAACGGAAGGTTTAAGCAAAGTGAAAAAGGTTTGTAAATGGTTGATCTTGTAAAAAATTCTGTGGGTATTAACAAGTTGGCTAAGATCTAAAAGAAATTATTTAGCTTTTTTCCGTAGATTAAAACATCAAAATCATACTTAATGTGGGGCCAGAATCTGGGCCCATGTGTCTGAATAACAGGGTTTCCTTAGAAAACCGATCTGCTGCTTGATGGAAAATTGTAAAGGGTTCTAAAAAGTTTATGAAAATCTTACCTTATAGTTAAACTAATTAAAACTGGATAGGGATGTAAAATTTTATTTAAAAAACTAGCTTTAACATTAAAGATGCACTAGTGCAAACATGAAATTTGTTTTCTCTTTTGATGACAATTTTTATGTAACATTAAAAGATAATGAAAGGATTTTGTTTTAATGCCAGGCAAAAAAAGGAAGAGAAAGAGAAGAGACAGATTAAGTTGGCTTCACGCTATCTTCATTGGGTCTTGTTTGGAAAGCTAAGTCTCCTCTATCATAGTAAAAGTTTTTCTTTTTTTAAAAATTTTTTTGGAGTTATCATTTTGGCCAAATGAATGATTTAGGTTGACCTGAGATTCTATTTCGTGATATCCAGTGTTTTAAACCTTTGATATTTGACAAACTTTCCAAAATCAAATTATAAATGATGTCTCTTTCTAACATAATATTTTAGATATTAGGTCCTCTAAAGTCCAAAAATGATATATGGCTTATTTGGTACAAAAATCAGACAGGAAGCATTGTCAAATATAAAATCGTGTTTGGTTTTCTTTGGTCTATATTTGTGCAAATGTGTTATGTGTATATGTTCCAAAATTATGTAAAACTGCTATAATTCTAATATAACTTAGGATATGTTATCAGTAATAATTATAATTATTATGCTGAATTACAGTGCGCCACAGAGGTAAATTTCTTTGTCAATGGTTCCTTTAATTGTGGCTGCCCTAAAATGTTTTTGTCATCCACAGACAATTATTTTCTCTCTTTGGTCCTCTTTAAAAGATGATTTTATAATCAGCTATAAAATTTAGCAGGTACTTTTAAAGGCAAGTTTCTGATTAATAACTCTGGGAAATTGTGACATTAGAAAAAACTTTCAAATAGAAAAGTGAATGGTGTTTGGTTTTTCTCTGGACTGTATTTGTATAAATATGTTATTGGTATGTGTTCCAAAATTACAGGAAATTTCAATAATGTTGATATAATTTAGTATACATTACTCATAATTATAATGGTTATGTAAAATTGTTGTATGCCACAGAAGTAACCAAAATTCCTAGTCAGTTGTAGCTTTAATAGTGGCTATAGACTTTTGTCATCCACAGACATTTTGTCTTGCTTTGGTCCTCTTCAAAAGGCAGTTTACAAGTCTTTTGAAAAGTTATATAGGACTTTTATAGGTCTTTTGAAAACTTACATAGGACAGTTATATAGGACTTTTATATGTCTTTTGAAAAGTTATATAGGACAGTTATATAGGACTCTGAGTGTAGGTCTCAGATAACTTTAAAAATCGTGCTATTGAAATGGAGGGAAAAAACCAAACTTCTAGGACTGTCATGGAGAGTTTATTTAAACCTTTTGCCTTTAGAGTCAAGAGAACTTATTTCTTTAGAGCTATTTGCAACTTCTAACAAGTGAATAAAATATACTCCTGTGAACAAAATTTAGAGCATATTTGTTTCTATCTACCTGATTTCTCCAGAATTTGGAAACTATTTGTGAATATTCTCAATTTAAGGCAGTGTAGTTGATTGCATAAGTGCAATAAGAATCTGTTTTCTTTTGTAACTGGACACAATTGGAGAAACTAGTTATTTTACCAAGGCTTTGATTGAAATGACATGCTTCCTTTAAAGTGTCAAAGTTGACTCATAAAGCTAGTTAAAGCCCATTGGGGAATCTGGCCTCATACCTTGCCCACACAGAGACCCTGTACAAGGTTCCTGATCTGTGGTAAGTAAAAAATGTCACTTTGTAACAAGCCCAGGAACCTCAAGTTATCTTGGGACCTCAAGAGGAAAGAAATTTTCAAATACCGACTCAGAGGTATTTGAGGGTACAAGCCCATGGCTGGGCTTGGCTTTTAAAAAGTCTTATCTGAGATTCTTCATGGAACAGAGTTCTATCAAAGCCAATTTAAAAAGCCTAAGTGAAAAATAATTATTCTTGCTTCACTTTATGCAAATAATCAGGCCAAGTACAGTAAGACTAAAGTTTATTTTGTAAACAAATCAGTTCTACCATGATTTGTTTTTATAAGAATGGAGACTGGAGAGAGAAAAATTACCCTTCAAAAGAAAAACTATAGTACGTCGTTGTTAGCTGTTCTTGAGGTTTTTTCTGCAGTTTAGACTAACTACTAAATTATTTGTGGGTTAGAAGTCCCCAAACTAATGCTGTCAAATCTTTGCTTTTAAAATTGGGAATTGTACTCCTCATCTTAGAACTCATTATTTACCTATAGCAGCACTGTTCACTTAAACACTGTAGTAAAACTATAGATGAGAGTACTAATGTTTTTGCCATGCAAGCCTTGGAAACTCAACCAGGCCTGCATGAGTCCACTCAGACAATTGCAAAGTGGTTCCACCCTTCTGACCTTGGGGTTCACTCCCATTCCCATTATGTCCCCTGTCAGTAGAAGAAGCCAGAGTCATCAACGGCCTTGTCCCATCTTCATAGCCTACACCTTAAGATTAAGATGTTATAAAACCCAAAGGGAGGGATTGAACTGCCTTTGCAAAATTATTACTGAGACAGTGAAAGAGATCTAACTTAACAGTCTCCATCTTGCTTCTAACCTCAATGCTGTCCTTGTTCATTCCTGGGCATAGGTTGAACCAACTTTGGGAGAAAATTAGTTTATAGTTTAAATAAATATGGTAACAGCCCTTTCCCAAAGCAGGCCTCCTTCTTGCCTAGGGACTAGATTGCCCATGTAGGACTAACATCAGCTACAAGATTAGAAATTGTGAGTTAGGAGTCATGCAGCTGGAGGTTACAACATTCTGAGCCTCTCTAAACTGCTCCTAAGATCAGTGCTTGAGAGATTTTGCAGACCCTGCATTCAATGGGTCAGCTGGCACCACCCAGATTAATAAACTGGCTTGGATCTTATGGTCCCCACCCAGGAAGTGACTTAGACAGCTTCTACTCCCTCTGATTTCATCCCTGACCAGTCAGCACTCCTGGCTGACTGGCTTTCCCCCAACCCAGCAAATTATCCTTAAAAACTCTGCTCCCTGATTGCTCAGGTGCTTGGGAGACTGATTTGAGTAATACTAAAACTCTGGTCTTCTGCAATGAATAAATTAAAAAAAAAATCATTTATGGTGTGCCTGGCCAGATTTGGTGGCTCATGCCTGTAATCCCAGCACTTTCGGGGGCTGAGGCGGGTGGATCACTTGAGGCCAGGAGTTCAAGACCAGCCTGGGCAACATGGTGAAACACTGTCTCTACTAAAAATGCAAAAATTAGCTGGGTCTGGTGGCACACGCCTGTAACCCCAGCCACTCAGGAGGCCGAGGCAGGAGAATCTCTTGAACGCGGGAGGCAGAGGTTGCAGTGAGCCAAGATCTTGCCACAGCACTCCAGCCTGGGCAACAGAGTGAAACTCTGTCTCAAAAACAAACAAAAACAACAACAACAAAAATCACTATGGCGTGCCTGCTCCCTGGAAAGCACTGCCAGATATGTATTTGCTATTGTAGCGTCTATACACAATCACATGAAGATTTGGGCTAAAAGACTACCTTAAAAGTTTACCTTCAGTCAGGCAACTTGGATTTTTCTTTTTCTTTTTTTTTTTTTTTTCTCTCTTTTTTTTGTTTTTTTAATTAACAACTCGGATTTTTCTAAGTGTGTTTGCAATCTCGCTGCTGGAAATCTTGGTTCTGCGTTTCCTAAAATCTGGTATACAGGCTCGCACTCCAGCTGCTTTCAGACCTCTAGGGAGCCCAGGTAGAGGCGCGCGCGCATGCGCACACTTCTCCCTCGCTGGTGCTCAGGCCCGGCCGCCCTGCCGGCGGCCCCAGGACCCAAGAGCCTTCAGGAACCGGCCCGGCGCACGCGCGCGGGGAAGGCGCGAGGCCTGGACGGAAGTGGCCCAGGCGGTTGGCGGAGGCCGAGCAGGCGCCATGTCAGCCCGGGAGGTGGCAGTGCTGCTGTCGTGGCTGAGCTGCTGTGGCTTGGCCATTTGGAGGTAGAGAGACGCCAGCCGCAGGCGAGCGACTGTGCAGGCAGTACCTCCAGCGGGGCAGGGGGGCCCTATTCCCGCTCCCCACCCGATGCGCCCCGGGCCCGCGCGCCGTGGCCGACCACCGCCTCCTCTCCCGGCCCCCGGAACACCAGCACCAGTGTGCCGCCGCTCCCACCCGACAGTGTTTCATGAGCGAGAGGGGACGCTGTTAGCGCTTTGAGTTCCTGCAGCAAGGTCGCAGTACCTTCATGCTGCTGTCCTCAGAACGTCTGAGCCCCTCTGGGATCTTTTCTATTTTTCTTTTTACTGAGACGGAGTCTTGTCGCCAGACTGGAGTGCAGTGGCACGATCTTGGCTCACAGCAGCCTCCGTCTCCCAGGTTCAACCGATTCCCCTGCCTCAGCCTCCTGAGTAGCTGGGACTACAGACTTTTAGTAGAGACAGGGTTTCACCATGACCAGGATGGTCTCGATCTTCTGACCTCATGATTCGCCCGCCTCGGCCTCCCAAAGAGTTGGGATTAGGGGCGTGAGCCACGGCGCCCGGCCACTTTTTTGTTTCTTAGGGCGGGGACGTCTATTTGTTTTAAAGACAGCCTCTTGCTCCTGCAATGCAGTGGCGCCATCATAAGTCCCTATAGCCTGGAACTCCTGGGCTCAAGCGCTTCTCCCACCTGGGCCTCCTGAATAGCTGGGACCACAGGCACGCGCCACCACGATTGGCTAAGTTAAAAAAAAAAAATTTGGTAGAGACAGGGTCACACAATATTGGCCAGGCTGGTCTCATTAAGTGATCCTCCTTCCTGGGCCTCCCTGCTTAGTTACTGGCCCTGAGCTGTGAGCCATGAGCCATGGCACCCTGGCCCCTATGAATTCCTACATTCCTTTCCCCTCCTGCACCCTTCTTTTGCCAGAGGAGAGAGGATCATTGTGGTCCAAGAGTGAGATGACAGTGCGCCTTTCACGAAAAGATAGCACATGTCGATCTGCACACCCCACACACCTATGGGCCTCTTAGATCCGTTTCCAACAATAATACATTAAATATTAGACATAATTAATAAAGCAAGGATGAAAAGGCATTATCATTGTTATCTGTGAATAAGTTAATAAATTAAACATGACTCTTTTAGCTACTGTTCTCTCCCTACCCTGTCCTCAGCCCCAGTAGGAGTGGGAAGCTGTTGAGGGAGCCAGTGAGGAGAAAAGACCTGCCGGGAAAGGTCATTTTATCATTTAGCTACCAAATCTTATTAAATTACATAATTTAACTTTGTAAATTAAAGTACCAAATTTGCCACTTGTATTTTTCTCTCTGTAATGAAAGGGATCTTAGATTCATGAGAAGTGTGAGGTGGTTCAAACTCAAAAAAAGCCTTTGATGACAATAGATTTAATTTATAGGTGTATATAAAATACATGAACATGTTTTTTATTCGATCTGTTTATACAGAAAATGTGTTTCATTATAAAGGTGACTGATTTCTGTTAAAAATTAGAATTCAGAGTGCTATTAAGGCTTGTATAATTCTGATAAGGAAATTGCACAATGATATCCTAGCAACTCTTCCTCTGCATGCAGAACAAAGGCCTCTGATTTAAAACTTTAGGGATAGAACAATTTCAATTGCAATTAGATATGCAGTGTAGACGTGGAATAGATTCTTGAAGCAAATGGAAGGTGAAGGAATTGTAAGATGATGATTTATGATAGTCACCAGCTTCATGTGCCTTTTGGACTCTTGAAATATAGCCCAAATTGAGATGTATTTAAGTGTAACGTACACACCAGATTTCAAAGACTTAGTATGAAAAAAAATGTAAAATATCTCACTAATAATTATTTTATACTAATTACATGTTGAATAAAATATATTATTAAAATTAATTTCACCCATTTCTTCTTGTGCTTTTAAAGTAGCTACTTGAACATTTTTAATTAATAGGAGGTGAGTTGTATTTTATTGGACAGTACTACATTAGATGAATCATACAGACAGAAATTAAGAACCCTTCATTGCAGCAACATGGCAAAACCCTGCCTCTACCAAAAAATACAGAAATTAGCTGGGTGTGGTGGCGTGTGCCTATAGTCCCAGCTATTCGAGAGGCTGAGGCCAGAGGATCACTTGAACCTGAGAGGTCAAGGCTGCAGTGAGCCAAGATCACTGCACTTGTACTCCACCCTGGGTGACAGAGAAAGACCCTGTCTCAAAAAAAAAAAAAAAAAAAAAAAAAAAAAAAAAAAAAAAACTGGGTTTTTGAAATTCCAATCTTTATTATTCTTATTTTAACTCTTTATACGTGAAGGAGTTACAGCCAATGTTCTTTAAGGGTTTTTGTCCTACCAAAAAAAAAAAAAAAAAGGAAAAGAATGTTAGCTTCTCATCTTAGTGTCTTCAGATACTGAGGAAACCTTAACACATCTAAAGGTGTGGCTAGCGGTCACTGACAGGCCCGGTTTTAGCCCTGAGCTGCTGTCTAGGAAGGAATTAAGTGGGAAGGTGAAGCTCCTGGCAGCCTGGGTATGCCCTGACCACATGGAGAATCCTCATATTTGAAGAATAAATTAGTTTTAATATTCATACTTGGCTTCTTCCTCCACAGGTATTATAGTAAGAGTCCCGACTATCGAATTTTTAGTACCAGAAGTATTGTAAGTGTTGAATTTTTAATAAACTATTATTAAGTATTAAATTTTTGAACTTTGGAGCAGAGAGCAGAGTTAATCATATTGAGTTTTAGTCATTGTCACTGTTCCATTTCATTTCTTTCATGTATTACCCTAACTCATCCCATGTATTACCACGTAGGTCCCCTCCTTGATCCATGTCCTTAAATTTGTGTGTAGCAAAAATAGTGTTGTTTTGAGTGTTTCTGTGATTTACTATTTGCAACGTGGTGTTATTATATAGATAGGAAAACTATTCGGTATATTGCCTAAACTATTGAGAATGGGAGTGCTATTAGTAATTATACAACAGGTATAAATTTACAACAGGTGTAAATTGGAACTGTCTAGACAAACCAGGATGTACAGACCTCATTCCCTGTATTACTTTTGTTATTCAACACTTCCTACTTCATTTCTTCTTATTGCTGCTTAATTACTAGTGTAAATCAATTATGTTTTATTTATATATACCCCTATTGCTGTACATATAACTTCTTACCATCATAGACAATACTGCAATGAGTGTCTTCTACAAGTCCTTTTATGTATCTATGCAATCATTTTTCTGCTATATGTAGCCAAATAGAGTTGCCTGGCCAAGGGAAATACAGACACCTAATTTAACAAAGTTCCGGAAGATTGTTTCCAGAATGGCAGTTACAATTTATATTCTCACTGAATGTACATCTTCACCAAAATTTGTTACTGTTACATTTCCTATTTTTACCAATCTCATTATTATCCAGTAATAGTTATTGCTGTTGTTGTTTTCAGTTCTCTGATGACTAATGATTTTGAGCATCTCTTCACATATTATGCAGGCTTCTCCTTCTATTACCTGTTCATATCCTTTGCCCATTTTTCATTTAATTTTCTGCCTTTTTCTTATTGACTAACACAGTGCTACCTACATTGCATTCTAAAAATTAATCAAATGTTTGTCTCAAACATTCAGTTATCTCTTTCTAGTTTCTATTAACTTTATTTATGGATACTTAACTGAAAAAGAAAGCTGATTTTTGATGAGCCAAATCTTTACTTTTCCTCCTTTGCCTTATAATTTAAACTTTGGGGGCTCTTATTTAATAAAAATCTTTGCTTACCCTGAATTGAATTTTTTAATAATATTATTTTATATTTCTTATATTTTACCATTAAAATATGTCATAAATCTATCGAGTCCACCTTGTATATAGTGCAATAGGCATTCACATTACTTTTTTCACATACTGAACCAGAATCTATTAAACAACTCATTGTTCCCCTATTACATTTCTAATGTCACCTGTGTTCCATATGTAGATGAGTTGATTTGTGAACTCTCTTATTTGTCTTAGTGCTAATTCTACATTCTCTTAACTGCTACAGCTTTCTAATGAGTCTTCTTCGTATCTGGTCCTGTGAATCATCAAGTTTGTTCTTCCACAAGACTACTTTGCCTATTTCTGGCTATTTGTGTTTTTATATAAATTTTAGAATAAGGTGTTAATTTTCACGAACAAAAATCTGCTTAGATTTTGATTGGGATTGCATTTGAAGAAAACCGATATTGTTATCATAGTAACTGGCATCATTATGATATTGACTCTTCCAATTCATGAAAAATGATGTAAGCCTCCAGAGTTGATCTCATTATCTTCTTCCTAACTTCAGTAGATTTCTTCTAACGTCTCCCAGTTAAACAGATGCTCCCTTTTGGGCACAGAGAGATATATTTCATTAAATTAACTAAGTATTCATTGGTTCCTAATTTATTGGATATGGTAAAAAATAGTCACTACAAGTGATATTTATAGTGAATTGTGAAATGCCGTTTCACAGTCTACAGAAAAAAGTTTTATGAGTTTTCTCCCTAGACTTGTTATAGTGAATCATATTAATATATTCACTACATGTAACATCCTTGGATTTTGGAAAAATTTCACATGGTACCAATAGTATTTCAGTATGTTCTCAGGGTCTATTGTTAATATTTTAAGATTCTTTTATCAATATTCATACATGAGATTGCTCCACAGCCGTGTTTCTCAATGAGGATGCCACTAAAATTTTGAGCAGGAAACGTTTTCATTGTATGGAACTATCCTTTGCTTTGCAGAACATCTTGCTTCCCTGGTTCCCAAACACTAAGTGGCAATGACAATCCTCAGGGATTGTGTAACCTAAGACATTCTTCCATATTTTCAAATGCCCTCTAAAGAAGGCAGAATCCAGCCAGTACATACTTGTATAGCATGCTGCCTGGTATTCACTTGGAACTGTCGGTGCCGGTGCTGTACAATTCTATAATCAAAAAGACAGATAATAACAAGTGTCAGTGAGGATGTAGAGAAATGGGAACTCTTACATTGCTGTCAAATGTCAAATGGTGCAGGAAAATGGTCTGGTAGCTCTTCAAACAGTTAAACGTAGTTGTTACCAATATGTTTTGCAGATTCCACTTCTAGGTAAACAACCAAGAGAAATAAAAACATAATGTCTACACAGAACTAGTACATGAATATTCATAGAAGCATTATTCATGATAGCCCCAAGAGCAAACAATGAAAATGTTCATCAACTAATAAAAAGATAAATAAAATGTAGTATATTTATATAATGGAACATTACTTCTCAATAAAAATGAATGAAGTACTTTTATGTGCTACAACATAGATAAGCCTTGAAAACACTGTACTAAGTGCAAGAAACTTTTCACAAAGGACCACATATTATATGATTTCATTCACATGAAATGTCCAGAATAGGCAAATGTATAGAGACAGAAAGTAAGTTAGTGCCTGCCTAGGGCTGGGAGATAGGGCTAGGGTGGTAACCTCCAGAGTGTGAGAGTTTTTTTTGTGGAGTGTTGAATATATTCTGATACTGATAACAGTAATAGTTGCAGAGCTACATGAAGACACTAAAAAACATTGAATTGTAGACTTTAAATGAGTGAATTATATGACATGAATTATATCTCAAAGTTGTTTTAAAAAACCATGACTACAATACTAATTAGCACACCTAAAAATCATTCCTTAATATCATCAAATATCTAGTCAGTATTCAAATGACCAGTTGTCATATAAGTGTCATTTTCTGTTTGTTTATGTAAATCAAAATCCAGATAAGATTTATATATTATGATTATATATTTCTTTAGTTCCTTTTGTAAAAGGCAAGTTAATTGAGGTAATTATATATAAAATTTATGCTTTTTAAGCATATAGTTTGATGAGCTTTGAAAATGCATACAGTTGCATCATCACCACAATAATGAAGATATAAAACATTTACATCACCCCAAAAGGTTTCATCATGCCCTATGTAGTCATGCTTTGCCCTCCCTCCCCATCTCTAGCTGTTTGCAGCCACTAATCTATTTCCTGATCCTATAGTTTTGCATTTTCTAGATAGTCATATAAATGAAAGCATACTGTATATAGCCTTTTGGGGTCAGTTTTCTCTCATTTGGCTTAGTGCTTTCAGATTCATCCATAATGTTGCGTATATAAGAACTTCATTTCTTTTTATTGCTGAGTGGGTATTCCTTTGCATTCATATGCCACAATTTGTTCATTCTCTTATTGATGGCCATTTGAGTTATTTCCAATTTAGAGCTATTTCAAATGAAACTGCTATGAACATTCATGTACTTATGTGGGGACATACATTTTTATTGTGGTTACACACCTAGGAATGGGATTACTGTGTTAGAAGGCAATGACATGTTTACATCAAATAAGAAACTACACAACAGTTTTCCCCTTTTTCTTTTTTCTTTCATTCTCCTTTCTCTTCTCTTCTCTTCTCATTTTTTTGTCAGATACACTCTTACTCCGTTGCCTAGGATGGTCTGTGTGGTACGAACATGGCTCACTGCAACCTTAAAATCCTGGACTCAGGTGATTCTTCTGCCTCAGCCTCCTTAGTAGCTGGGACTACAGGCATGCACCACCACTCCCAGCTAATTTTATTTTATTTTTAGTAGAGACAAGGTCTTGCTATGTTGCCCTGGCTGGTCTTGAACTCCTGAGCTCAAGCGATCCTCCCACCTTGGCCTCTGAAAGTGCTGGGATTACAGGCATGAGCCACTGCACCTGGCCCACAACTGTTGTCTGAAGTAGGTGTACCATTTGCAGTCCCACTAGCCGCAGAGGAGAGTTCTCATTGTTCTGCATCTTGAATGTGTTTTGGCTTGAATTCTACTTTATCTAATATCAGAGTCACAATTCCTGCTCTTATATTGATTTTTTTTTTTTTTTTGATGGGGGATAGGACATTTTCCTGGTATACCTTTGTCCATGACTTAAAAAAAATTTTTTTGAGTGTTAAGAGAGTTTTTTTTTTTTAGAGCAGTTTTAGGTTCATAGAACAATGGGCAAACAGTACAGAGAGATCCCAGAAAACCTCCTCAGTTTCCCTTATTACTAACATCTTGCATTAGTGTGCTACATATGATACAATTGATAAGCCAATATTGATACATCATTGTTAACTAGAATCCATAATTTACATTAGTTTTCACTCTTTGTGTTGTACATTCTGTGCGCATGGGAAAAGTTTAGAGACATGTTTCTACCATTATGGTATCACACAGAGTAGTTTCACTGCCCTAAAAATTCTCTCTGCGCTGCCTTTGCAATCCTCCCTCTCCCCAGCCCCTTATAACACTGATCTTTTAACTGTCTCCATAGTTTCACCTTTCCCAGAATGTCATTTAGTGGGAATCAAACAGTATGGAGCCTTTCAGACTGGCTTCTTTCACTTAACAACACACATTTAAGTTTCCTCCATGTCTTTTCATGGCTTGATAGCTCGTTCCATTTTCACACTGAGTAATATTCCATTGTCTGGATGTACCATTGGTTTATCCATTCATGTAGTGAAAGATATCCCAGTTTGGGCAATTATAGATAAAGCTGCTGCAAACATTCATGTGCAAGTTTTTGTTTGGGTAAATACAAAAAAAGTACAATAGCTAGATATATGATAGGAGT